TGATATTCTCCGTCACACACAAGAATTAAGTCGCATCGAGACTAAGGGTTCAAAGACATTCTTCTGATAAGTTTCCATAGTACTTCTAAGACTTATAAACTAAATTGTACAATACCAAATGAATGACTGTTGGACACTTACCATATTGAAATGCTGAGTCCTTTAAAGGCTGTCCTCATTTGGTCTGTTGTGTAGCTTTATTTTATCCATGACGTAGCCACTATGGCTTTAATAATCACCTATGACGCCACAGCAGAAGTCAAATTCTGTACAGAAATGTAAACAGTACAAGAGGCAAAAGGTTGGATAAAGAAAGCTATTTTCTTTAATGGAAGAGGAACATTCCTCCAGAGTTTGTGCACCACAGTTGAAGAACAGAACACCATTGTTTGAATATCTCAGCTTGCTTCTAAGTGGAATCGTTTCTATTTTTACACACAGCCTTAGTTTGACCAAGCACATGTTGTAATTCACAAGATATAAGAACAACTAGACATGTTAATATTATATAAATGTACTTTGTACTAGCTGAGTGGGGATTCCAATTTCCCCAAAACTCAATCTGTCTTAAGCAGCAAACTCTAGGTGCAGTTCCCTATGATGTGACTGCTAGACTATTTATTTTTTAAGATTTATTTATCTAATTTAAGAGAGAGCATGAGATGGAGAGACAGAGAGATCTTCCACCTACTGGTTCACTTCTGAAATGGCTCCAAGAACCAGAGCTGGGCTGGACTAACGCTGGGGACCAGGAGTTCTTTCTGAGTCTCCCAGGTAGATGCAGGGGCACAAGACCATGAGCCATCCTCCACTGCTTTTGCTGGACTGTTACCAAGGATGTAGATTAGAAGTGGTGCAGTTGGGAATAGGACAAGCCCTGTATAGGGCGCCAGAGATAAAGGAGAATCAGCCTGCTACACTACTACCCTGCAACTGCCTAATTATTTCACACACTAGACAGAGTATAAATCTCTCAAAGTTGGGGATAGGATATGGTGGATGAAGAGGATGCAAAGGGGAGAGAGAAAGAGAGAGAGCGAGCACCATAAAGTCAAGATGCTAATTTAGTTTGTGCATTATTCATTCATGGATCTTGTGATCAGGGAGTACGTGTTCCAGCTTTTCTGTGAACACACTGGTTTCTTTAGCTGAAGTGGTTGATCGAACGTGTTCTGTAGTTTATGCGGTTGTTAGCGTCAGGTGAGGTGCTGTAGATATATATATATATATATATATGAGACCTGGGACTGACTAAATCTTGCTTTAATTTTTTTGTTGTCGTTGACTACAGCGATAAGGAAAAGGAGGAAGACAACAAATGATGTGAGAGTGTCCATGTGTGATCATTGCTCTGTGCAAAGTTCAGTCGGCACAAAATGTTTTCATTATTACTGTGAACAGAGCCAAATCACTGAACAAATCATTTATTTCTTCTTCTGGATCAAATTAGTTATTGCTGTCTTGTTTTTTCTTTTTGTATTTTTTATTGAAGCAATAAGAACAAATTTCATGTATTTAATATATACTGATTTAAAAGCATAATGAAAAGTCACACCCTTCGCTCTCTTCTGCCCACGCCTCTCCCTCCCTTCTTCTTTTCCCATCTATTTTAATGTACACAATGACATAGTTTTGGTTTATTTTATAACCAGAAGTGTAAGCCTAACCAAATAAATAATTCAACAAGTAGTCAGTAGAGAAACCACTATTCTTCAAGGGCACAGATGAGAAGCGTGAACAACGATCAAACTTCAAAATGATGAAAAAGAAAGTTTGATTTGTTTTTCTGGAAGAAGCATTACATGGAGACAGAGGAAGGGGAGAAGATAGAGAAGGAGAAAGGACCTCCATCAGCTCATTCACTCCCCACACGGCTGCAACGAGGGCTGGGCATTCTTCTGGGGTACGGATTTGCAGGTGATAGCTTCACCTGATGTGCTATAACAGCCCCAAATCTTTTTTGTAAAACTAAAATACAGTTTTATACTCTGTCAAGTGAATAGTAAGTGACAGTTGAAGAATCCTGCAGGATATTCAGTAAGTAAATATTTGGTATTTTTCAATCAAGTTGGTTGAAACTTAACATTTCATAAAATATGTGAGCACATAGCTTACAGCAGAAATGCCCATGAATTTATCTAAGAGACAAACAAAATTCTGCTTATAAATAAATCGTAATTCTGATCTTAGAGTCACCTGAAATGTTTGAGAACCATTGGAATAAGAACATAAACAGGGAGATTACTTTATTTAGCTAAATTACATGAATACATATTTGGATAAATAACGGCAAAGGTGTTAAGGAGAAATGTAACAACAATTTTATTTAAGCTCTTCAGCATCTCCCAGTGGCCTACATATTTACATATCTACGTATCTTTGCATAGAATATAATCTATATATGATAGTGTATATTAGCATATTTTGCATAAATGTAAACGATGTGTACTAATCTATATCGTGCTTTTAGCTAATCATTTTTAACTGTAAGCTTTTACTGCAATTCTAGGATACATATGTAAGAATACTTCATAAAGTTCATAAAGAGGAAATTAAAAGAAAAACTTGGGAGCAGGCATTCGGCCTACCACTAACCACTGTTTGAAAAATCCGTATTCTATATTGAAGTGCTTGTCCAGACTGTGTTTTTGAAAGTATCATTTTATTTTTTACTTCTTCTAAAATGCTTGTTGTTATTTGTCATGATAAGGTTTTGTAGGCATAGGATTCTCCTCTTTTCCTCCGATTCCCACCACCCCATCTTCCTCCACCACCACTTCTCCCTATATTGTCATTCTAATATAGTCTTTTAGTAACAGTTATTAGTTAAAAATCTGCTATTTAAATACATACTGGCATTGTAGGTATAGGCAAAGGTAGAAAATGTGGTATCATGTTGCAAAGATTTATTTAACTTTTACTGGGAGTCTTCCATTCACTCAGTACAGATGCCTACCGCAGTCAGTCCCCTGGTAATGGGGGCTCTGAACGGAAACAAGGGGTCGCTCAAGATGTTGAATTCCTGCTGCTCATATAGAAGACCTGTACTGCGTTCCTTGCCTTTGCTTTAGCCCTGGCTGAGTCCCAAGCTGCTGTGGGCGCTTGCCAGGGAACCAAGGAATGGCAGCTCTTTCTCTCTCTGTTCCAAAAGATAAAATGCATGAAATGATACTCCAATATTGGTTCATTTTTTTTTATCATGCTAGAGGGTAATTTGCTTTTGAAACCAGAATAATCCATTTGTTTATGTGTTATGTGTGCTCTAAAGGTGCTTTCCCAATTACTTTGTTACTTCAAGTACAATCCATTCCCCCACTGGTAGCTTGTATCATTACTTTGTATTTAGTGATACCAGAATTAATAGAAATAACTCTATATTAGAATTCTGACAAATACTTCTCAACCATTTTTCTTTTGTGACATACAAACTAATTTTGTCACAAGCAGGTGGAACTTGGACTAGTCTCTCCTGCATATGCTAGTCTTCAAAAATGTGTCATAGCTTATTCGATGAACAAATTTTTTTTCTAAATCCTCAACATAGTTTGCCCATTATAAAAGATCATTCGCGTGTCCCCAGATTTTGATGGTATTATCTAAAAACTGTGATTTTCTGTTGCCTTAAAGACCATGAAGAAGGTATATTTGGGTTTGATCGTTGCTTCTTTTTCAACCTCTCTGACACCAGAGCATACACCTCTCACAGGAAGGGACCTTGTCTTAATTACCCTGAATGTTCAGAGTCCACCATGGTGCCTCATTATAGCTAATTGTGTTAGCTCAGTGGGGATGTGATGCCAAAGTGAAAGAATGAATGATTGAGCTAAGCTTTATAATCTGCTCTCACTGATTGACATGTGACCTTGTGCAAACCACCTCATCCTGCCAGGCCTCAGTTCTCCTCTACTGTAAAATTAACGATGATGAAGGAAGATTTGGTAATGGCTTTCAAAATAAAACATTAAAATTGATATAATTCTAATCATATGCATTTATTATGATTACAAGACATGTATACATGCCATTCAATTCATGTATACTTGTATACAATATACAGTACACTTATATTTTGTATGTGTATTATATCTGTAGATAGATATAGCCACATATCCACAATGAGAGCAAAAAAACAGAGCAAAAAAACAGAGAGAGGAGAGAGAGGAGAGATCTTTCAACTGATGCTGCACTCCCAAATGCCCACAAGAGCTAAGACCAGGCCAGGTGGAATTCAGAAAACCAGTGCTTCAACTGTGTCTCACACATATGGCAAGGACTCAAGTAACTGAAGCATTGTCTACTCCCAATCCAGGTGAATTTTCAGAAATTTGAATTGGAAGCACAGCAGCCCAAAACTTGAACCAGGCATTCTGATATGGAGTTCAGTCCTTTCAAATAGCTGCGTAACCTGCTCTACCACAATATCCATCATAAGGCATAGTTATTTCTCAAGCACAGTTAGTATTCACCTATTCTTTGACAAGATAAACATACTGAAAATTAGAATGAAACCATACTGATTGTAGGTACAAATTGAAGGTCAAAGAAAATAACTCTATCTAAGGGAAATGTATTGGCTAATAAAGAATTATCATATAGTCATTGGTACCATCATTGTTACGCTGTATAAATTAAAGCTTACAACTTCCAGGAAGAAAATGTTGACTTCACATTTTGCATACTGAATGTAATAATATTTGCGTTTCCTCCCATAGTTTTGTCCCATTGAATGATTGATTATACACATGTATGTGTTTATTGTTTACCTCCGCATTGATGTCATTTTCAGCTAAGTTATTGACAAAAGATGATACGCAGACTTATATTCATATCCAGCCTGAGAAGTGTCACCTTTTAAAAAATCAATTTTGCATGGAACATTGGGGAAGACAGCTTCAGTAAACATGCAAGAGGATGAGTTTTGAGGAAAAAATTGTGACTCTAAGTCTGATGTATTTTAAAGCAAAGTTTATATTTATTCATTTTATTCTTTTCCCCTGCAGGATTACATGTTACTTTGGCTACTTGGCTACTAATTAGAGAACACAAAATGAATAACTCAACAAACTCATCCAATAATGGCTTGGCCCTCACCAGTCCTTATAAGACATTTGAAGTGGTATTCATCGTGCTTGTGGCTGGATCCCTCAGTTTGGTGACAATTATTGGAAACATTCTGGTCATGGTTTCCATCAAGGTGAACCGCCACCTTCAGACGGTCAACAATTACTTTCTGTTCAGCTTGGCCTGTGCTGACCTCATCATAGGGGTCTTCTCCATGAACTTATACACTCTCTACACGGTGATTGGCTACTGGCCTTTGGGACCGGTTGTATGTGACCTCTGGCTAGCTCTGGACTATGTGGTGAGCAATGCTTCAGTTATGAACCTGCTCATCATCAGCTTTGATAGGTACTTCTGTGTCACAAAACCTCTGACGTACCCTGTCAAGAGGACCACGAAAATGGCGGGAATGATGATTGCGGCTGCCTGGGTTCTCTCCTTTATCCTCTGGGCCCCAGCCATTCTCTTCTGGCAATTCATTGTAGGAGTAAGAACTGTGGAGGATGGGGAATGCTATATTCAGTTTTTTTCCAATGCTGCTGTCACTTTTGGCACTGCCATTGCAGCCTTCTATCTGCCGGTGATCATCATGACTGTGCTCTATTGGCACATCTCACGAGCAAGCAAGAGCAGGATAAAGAAGGACAAGAAGGAACCTGTGGCCAACCAGGAGCCAGTGTCTCCAAGTCTTGTGCAAGGAAGAATAGTGAAGCCAAACAACAACAATGTGCCCAGCAATGATGGTGGCCTGGAACACAACAAAATCCAGAATGGCAAAGCTCCCAGAGATGCTATGACTGAAAACTGTGTCCAGGGGGAGGAGAAAGAGAGCTCCAACGATTCCACTTCAGTCAGTGCTGTTGCCTCTAATATGCGAGATGATGAAATAACCCAGGATGAAAACACAGTCTCCACTTCCTTGGGCCATTCCAAAGATGAGAACTCTAAGCAAACATGCATTAAAATTGTCACCAAAACCCCAAAAGGTGACTCATGTACCGCAACTAATACCACTGTGGAGGTTGTCGGATCTTCAGGACAGAACGGAGATGAGAAACAAAACATTGTAGCTCGCAAAATTGTGAAGATGACTAAGCAGCCTGCCAAAAAGAAGCCTCCTCCTTCCCGGGAGAAGAAAGTCACAAGGACCATCTTGGCTATCCTGCTGGCTTTCATCATCACTTGGGCCCCATACAATGTCATGGTGCTCATTAACACTTTCTGTGCACCCTGCATCCCCAACACAGTGTGGACAATCGGCTACTGGCTCTGTTACATCAACAGCACTATCAACCCTGCCTGCTATGCACTTTGTAATGCCACCTTCAAGAAGACCTTTAAACACCTTCTCATGTGTCATTACAAGAACATAGGCGCCACAAGGTAAAACATCTTTGCAAAGAATATGGGAAGACTACAAGGATCAAAGAACTGGCTTTAAACCTCTGCCATTGCACTTTATAGTCTTACTATTGACTGTGCAACCAAGGAAGGCCAACAGTGACACTCTCATACCTATGTTACAGTTTAAAAATCTTGCACCTTGTAAACACTGTCCGTTTAAGAGCAATGAGACCATTGAAAGAGACATATTGGAATTGGGAATTTATTAAGGAGCAATTCATGCTTTCTCATATTCTCTTGAAGAAGGGCTTCTGAATCTACAATTTTGTCAGTCTCTGCACAAAAAGAGTAACCTCATTATTTTTGTTGTGTATTTTGCTTCTGTTGTTCTGATTATTCATATGAAAATGAAATATCATTGCAAGCCAACATGGAAGTGAAAATTTAAAGAAATAGATGTTGTAAATAGACATGTGAGGAAAGAAAATCAAATAAGGATGCAGAAATGATCTCCAGAGAGTGAAATACATTCTAATCTTCTGTTGCGGTTTTATTGGAGGGATTGGGGTGTCATACATGAGCTTTTCCCACCTTTCCCTTTTCCCATTGTGAAAAGAAACCAAACAAAAACCACTATGAGCTCACACTATTTTTACTTTTCTTTTTACAATGCCTGCAGGACCTTCACTAAATCCAGGCAGAGACCTTTCAGCCACTGTGTCTTTTAAATTCTTTCAGGTATAAAAGCCTATAAGGATTTAGTTCCCTTAAAATGCTTTATGTGTAATGTGCTTTCTCATCAGTCCAGTCCTAAGCTACTAGTTTACTTTACTAGAGTAAGTGTGCTTGAGACAGCCAAGTCATCAAAAAGTTGAGGCTTCACCATTTAAGTATTTATTGGGCAGTATAGCTGAAGAAAGCTTATTGAGGCCAAGTGAATTTTAAAATGAGAAAACAAAAGGACAAAAGGCATTTGATTTCAAATGAATCAGCATGACCCATGAAGGAAATGTTAAGTTATAAAACACAAACTCCTGCCTTTCAGCAGGAAGGAGATGCCGATTTGTGCATTTGTAATGCCGAACAAAGTAAAGATATTCACAAGGCATCTGTCACTAGTAGGTCAGTGCCCCAAAAAACTAATACCTCCTAAATGATATTCAAATTATATTCAAACCAGGTTATCTATAACCATCCTACAATTCAGAGAGGGGAAAAAAGGTAATACAGTCAGTTTTCCCCCCAAATTAAAATAAATTAATAGAATATATTTATGACAGAAGTTTGCTGAATAACAAAGCTAGGGCCCTAATGAACTCAAAGAAACTGATGGAAGAATGTCAATGGTTGTTTTCCCATTTTGCCGCAGCTTGAAATTCTACACACAAAGTATCGTTTCAGGACCTATTATCTAAATGGTAATATCATGTAAATTAATTCTTGCCCATGTAGGGACATCGTAGTTCAAATAAATAGAGGGGTATATTGACTCACATTTAGCTAGTTACTTTATCCCACAGGTTTTCATTGTTTTTTATATACATTGCACATTTTATGATATTCTGCTTAGTAATCTTTCTGTGGGTTACAGAGTGAATTCATCAGTCTTAGACCACTGAACTTATCTGAACTATTTTAAAGGAGTTGTTACATTGATGACATCTTGATAACTCGAAGAATTTGTTTAAAAAGCACAAGGAAAATAGCAGCCAACATTTGTAAGTTAGTAAAAGTAAATTGTTGGTAATATTTGTACTTGACCTATTTATTGTATGCTAAAATAATGTCTTTATTTGAATAATTAGTCACTTTCCCCAAAAGTAGCATCAATGTATCAACTGACAGCATCAGTTCAAATAGATTACAATAACTGCCACGTAAATATCTACTTTTTAAATGCATATTCATGCTATTTTGTTGAATCTAATGAACATTGGGCCAGTGCATTTCTGGGTTTCCTGTAAATAAAACTAGCTGATGGGCCCAGAATGCCACTTTCTGACTTGGGATGTAGGTACAGATCCGGTTGGAATGAACCCTTTGGACGCATCAGGATTTCGTTTCCTGTGATGCTCTAACAGTCCCACTCCATGGTAGTCCACTTGACCTCACTCCGTTTCCCTCGAACCCTTAACCTTCATCTTTATGTTCTCCATCTTTACCAGACCCACCACAACTTTATTCATAGAGAAACTATTTGGTCAAAGGAAAAGATTGAAGGTAGACGCACACACCATGGAAATTGGTTCAACTGGAATCAGAAACATGTATGGAATGGTGAAAAGGATTGTAGAGCAATAGAGACTGTGTTCCAAGAATTGTCTTAACTGTTGCTGAATTTGTCTATTACAGAGGTTCTCCGTCAGGGACAATTTTCTCCAAAGGGGACATTTAACAATGTGCACAGACATTTTTGATTGTCACACCAGGGAGGAAGTTAATTGGTATTTAGTGAAGAGAGGCTAGGAGTGCTGCTAAACAGACTAAAACTAAAATGCACAATCCAATCCCCTATCCCCACCAGAAGATTCATTTAGCCTAAACGTCAAAATAATTTCAAGGTTCAGAAACTCTTGTTTATTAAACTTTCATTTACTTTAGGAAATTTCTAGAGCTTGCTTCCTCTAAGTGAAGAAATAAGCCTATGACAGTTGTAGAATTTTATGTGATTTGCTCACCGGTTTGAAGTAGGCAATGCTCCCTAATCATGTATTCGAACACTGCTCCTACTAGTTGATTATATTTGTAATTCACATTGGGACAATCAGGCCACATCTACATGTCCCAAATCACCAAACCACACACAGCCTATCATTTCCAGAATTTAATGTCTGCTTACAATTGCCATGCAGTCTAGTGAGTTGGTGTTCTGCTAGCTGTCCATCAAAATGGTCACACTTGACATAGTCAGTTTCCATAGGAGCTGCCATTTTCTATTTGAAAAATATGAAGAGCCTCTTTTGAAAATGACATGATTCATACCCTTTATCTTCATAGGGAAGATGGATTCTGTCAACTATTTCCTCTCTCCTCTTAGCAATAATGTAAATATCCCAACGTGGTCTTTTAAATGAAGAGGAGATTAAGAATATTAAAAATTCATTTCATATTTTAGAAATTATTACCCTTTGACCAGTTCATCTTTTATTTAACACCAACTTCCCATTGTCACATCACAAATGAGATGCTTTCTAGTTTGAAGGGTGGATGACTGGAGATCCCGCAGACTTGTGCTCCTTATTTAGCCACTGCTTTTTTGACCTGGAAGATCTGACACAGAGGAGATGGGAGCACACATGATGGCCACAATTATTCATTCTTCGTTATTACTTCATTGATAGTTGCCAGCACCCTAATTTGATAATATCCCTTTCAAGAACTATAACACTGGTGTTTCAAATAGATTAGGAAAGCACCAAAAGCTGGATAAAATTGTGCAAAGTGTATTTTCGCATGTATATACAATACCATGCCTCTTCAATATGCTTCTCTTAAATGGGTGCACGCTGTAGCATGAACTATATGCATATTTAATGTATCTTCCTGGAATATGCTGTATGCTTAATATATATACATATTATATATAAAATTATAACATGTACAATAGAAATACATATTTCTGTATGCAAATAAAAGTATTATACACAAAATATTCCTATGTGACCTGATGTATCTTCTTGCAACTCAGCAAGAGTAAATGTGGCATGCCAAATTTTCAAAGAAAACAGAATTTGCATTTGAAAGAAAAAATTTCAAAACAGTTAAAATCATATCCATTTTATAATTAAAGTGTTTTATAATCTTTGGAAGCATGGCATTGGTTTTAAACATCTCTTATAAAAAAAATATTTTTTTTATTGGAAACGCAGGTCAACAGAGAAAAGAGACACAGATCTTATGTCTACTGGTTCACTCGCCAGGTGGCAGCAACAGCTGGAACTGAGTTAATATGAAGCCAGGAGCCAAGAGATTCTTGCAGGTTTCCCATGGGGACACAGAACTCCAAAGCCTCGTGCCATCCTTCACTGCTTTTCCAGGCCACAAGTAGGGAGTTGGAAGGAAAGTGGAGCAGCCATGAGCCTAACTAGCAGCCACATGGGATCTCGGCACATGCAAGGCAAGGATTTAGCCACTAGGCCATCATGCCAAATCCTAAATACCCCATGAGGGAGCAAATCAATAAATTTTTGCTGTCCCCTCCCCCCACATGAAAACTCTTTCTTCTCCCGTGCCTGTGACATGTCTCTGACAAGAATCTTCCAGCTGGTGCGACTCCAGCAGCTGTGTTGAGCTTGTGGCTGACTGCCTGATGAGGCTGCAAACAACCCTTTGTCATCATTTTACTCTCTTCCAAATTAACTGATTTTAGCAAAATAAAAAAAAAATCAGTACAGGAAAAAAAGATGACCTTCAGAATATTTTTCTTTTTTTTAATCTTAAAAAAGTGGGGCTGCTGGGATTAGAACCAGTACCTATAAAGGATCCTGGTACATGCCATTAGAAGCTATAGCAGCTAGGCCACCGCACTGGGCCCAGGATATTTTTCATTCTGACAAAGGAAAAATTGTATTTTAGAAACCATTTTTTAGGGCCTAGCATGATAGCCTAGTGGTTAAAGTCCTTGCCTTGCATGTGTCAGGATCCCATATGGTCGCTGCTTCCTATTCCAGCGTCCCTGCTTCCCATCCAGCTCCCTGCTTGTGGCCTGGGAAAGCAGTTAAGGATGGCCCAAAGCCTTGGGACCCTGTACCTGTGTGGGAGACCTGGAAGAAGTTCCTGGCTCCTGGCCTCGGCTCATCACAGCACCAGCCGTTGCGCTCACCTGGGGAGTGAATCATCGGACGGATGATCTTTCTCTCTGTCTCTTCTCCTCTCTGTATATCTGACTTTACAATAAAAATAAATAAATCTTTTAAAAATATACCTTAAATAAAACATTTGGGCTCTTGTGGCATAGCTGGTTAAGCCACTACTTAGTAGACTGGCATCCTAATATGGGTGACAGTTCACATCCGATCTGTTCCACTTCCCATTCAGCTCCCAGATGATCCACCTTGGAAAGCAGCAGAAGATGGACCAAGTGTTTGAGGTCCTACCCTTTGTGCGGGAGACCCAGATGAAGGTCTTGTCTCCTGACTCAGGCCTGGCTCAGCCCTGGTCTATCCGGTCATTTGGGGAGTAAATGAACAAGCAGATGGAAGATGTTGCTTTCTCTCTCCCTCTGCCTGTCTCTCTTTCTCTCTAACTCTGTCTTTCAAATACAATGAAATAAAATATGCACAGGGAATGAATATTTTTCTTAGCTATAAAAAATCCAACATTTACTTGTAAATAAGCTTTTCATATATTCTCTCTTGAGAAGCTTTTAACGCCACATGTGTAACATAAGACATT